GAGAGAGCAAGCAAGCAGGCCGTAGGAGTAGCGCAAAAGCCTAGCGACGCGAACTCCAGCCATGTTGATTTTTACCTGATTGGAAGTGGAGCAGACTGTGGTCACATAGTCATTTATTCAAGTAAATAGTTATAGAGGCTTCCTGCGTGATACTTATGAAACGAGACTTAACCCCGAAGTACCTAGAAAGTAGCATTACCATCCAATTCTTATTATAAACCTGAGATGCATAAAATGATAGATTCTCATGCAGGTATTTCTTGAGCTATTGAAAATTTGCGTCGAACATCAGCACTAATGCAAGAGTGATAAGCGCATGATATGCAATTATTTATCAGAATATTGCTTAATATGTGGTTACGCACGGTAATATCCGCTTAGTTAATCCACTCTTTGGTCAAAAGCTCAGCATTGTTAATTACATTATTGCACACACCAGTGCGTCACCTCTGCTTCGCAGAGGCTCGCACTGGCTCTTCTGTCTATATGTCATACTCATTCTCGCATAACATTTCACTGAAACATACCGCGCAATGCCCGCCTACACGAATGATTCGTAAACAACTACTCATTCCGCAAGCTTTTTCGTGTGAGATCGGTATTTTGCGTAGACGAAACTTTGGAAAATGAAGAACAAATGCAAATTTGAACAGGTTTTAAAACTTTTTTTGGCTTGGTAGTCGCCATGAGGACAATAGTTATCGTGAGCTACATCTCTATACAAAAATCTTCTCAAATGCTCAGGTAAAACCACGGCGGATTGACCATTTAAGCGACCATTTCTTTTTGGTGTCGTTTTCGTAAAGTAGCAAACCTTTGGTCACTTTTTGGTCTAAAGTCCATGGCTTACACATCAGCCTGCTAAACACATCCACGGCTTTGCAAAAAGCGTTGACACGGACCCAATTTTGCGGGCCAGAAGCCAAGTGGATCCGTTTGAGGCGCAAATTCTGAGGGGCCCACTCAACGAATTCGTTCGTGCTTTTGCATGCTGGAGTTCTACGTTGGTAGCATGCGCTATGTGAAATTTGGGCTCGGGATGGTGGCTGGAACCCGCTGTATGAATTTCGTTACAGACAGACAGACAGACACACACACACACAAAGTCACGTAAACACCCTTAGCCCGTTATTATAAGTTATGATTTTTTATTGGATGCAAGATAAAAAATTTTTGCAGTGAGTTTTGAGACTGTTTACGTAATGCCATGCAAAATAATCATAGCATCGGGGTTTTGCAGCCTTCGTGATGCCCATGCACACGCATGGAGGTTTTGATTATGTGTTGAATAGCGGATAAGCAAGAAGAATCATGTTATCAGCTCTTGCTCACACGTTAATTTGATATATGCAAGAATTTTAGCAAACAAAACATTAGAAGATAGACATCTGAGTCCCGGTAGTGACGTCGAGACATAGGGACCAGAACAGATTGTTTTTGAACATTATCTAAAGGCTACTCCCTGCGGAGCGATTGAGATAGCGCTGAAATCATATTTTTTATTAGGCTTGCTTAGGGATTGAAAGGGATGACGTTGGAAAAAGTTTGGCGTTATAAGTATTTATATCAAAGACCAGTAGACTACATCAAACATCTTGTCGACAACATCTCCGTTTAGACCACATTTTCGACCCAAAGAGTTAAGCGAGGAAGCACGATCTCAGAAAAAGGAAAGCTCCCAAGTCTTAGCTCACAGCCAAAACCTAAATAACTGTGGATACAAACAGAATGAGCAATAATTTTGTGAAATATTGCAAATATTGCAGCATTATCAAGAAATGCATGATGTCCTTGCTCGAGAGAAATAGAAAATTTGTAAAGTAAAGAATCTCTCAAGAAATGGCTCTCATATAAGCGGTTTTATCTGGTTACGATTTTGTCCTCAACACTTGACATACATATAGTATTGCAGTGTTTCCTTAGAAGTTCGGTGAAATCCTGACCAAAGCCAAATGCCCATAGTCTTAGCTGCTTTTCCTTTGCTCGTCTGCGCCTGCACGAATTGAAATCATTCATTTTGCTAAAAGATTGCTTATTTTTCATATGACAACGTCGCAGTCTTTTTCATCTAGTCGCTTTGGAACCTTCAAGGGAAAGTGCATCTTCTTTCAAGGCGCTTTCTCCGAAGTAGCTTCGCAATTATGTTATTCACGTATGGGAGATTCTTATTCGGAACGATGGCGAGAACAAAGTGAACAACGTCGCTGGAGCCACGTATGGCACATTAAGGATGGGCGAAAAACAATATGTCGCCAAAAGGAGGTGGTCCCACGCGGACATCTGCAACAGACAACGCGGCGTAGAGGTACGAACGCCTCATTTAGGCATCGCCTCCGCGGTCTGCTGATCCTTTCGTCCTGCTGTTGTGCATCGTGTTGGGACCAGTGGTCCGCGGAGGCGGTGCCTAATTTTTAGGTGTTCGTTCCTCCACCCGACAACGCGGCCATGCGGGTAGGGTATTGTAGGGATACGATATGCTCCACCCCGCGCAGGCAACTGGTACAAATCTGTACGCCTCTATGATATGGAGCTGCGCGTTTTGTCGCAGGTTTCCGCATGGGACAACCCCTTACCCCCTTTTTCTCACAAGCAAGGACATGACCAAGCATTTTTTGATAGTCCAACCTCCTACATGTAGCCCTCCACCCAAGCCAAACAATACATATGTATACCGGATGTTTGCGCGGGGTGGAGATTACGTCTGGAGGCTGACTAATTTTGGGAAAGGTCTTACTCAGGGCTCGGCACGTGGCTTGGTAAGCAAGCTGGATATCGTTTTTGACAAAAAGCAAAGGGGGTTTCGTTTTTGTGGCCGAAAGAACACAAAATTTGCGACTTTTTTGGTCGATGTTTCGTTTTTTTTGAAGGATGATGGCTTGGGATCAAAGGAGACTTCGTAAAATTTTGGGAAAGTCAAGGGGGACTTCGTTTTTTGCATTTTCCAAAAGCCACCTCGTGCCGAACCCTGGTCTTACTTCACTTCACTTTATAGTTTTTTGAAACTTCTCGTTTATATTTCTCCGCAGATGATATCATATGCGTACAGTCGAAATGCTGTCATATCGTTACGTTTTGGTTGTAAACAAGCTATGTATTTGTTTATTTTAACCTTGCATTTAAATCGCACAGCTTTGCGAGGCACAATGGAGCATGTCAATCGTGTAGTAACTTGTTTCTTGAACTTGTTCGTTTGAAGTTGGTCATATGAAAGAACTAACAATAAAATATTGATGCTAATAAGTTCTTATTAAGCCATACTGTATTTCCTTAGTGCTTGAATGAGTGAATGTAAGGGAAGTGAGGAAGTGAATGCGTAAACTTTTTCCAAAAGCGTCTTCAGTCGTTCAAGAGTGAAATTCAAACTAATTATCGTTGCCCCTTCTAATTAGCTAATTTGTACGTTTTGTCCGAAAAGGTTGTACGGAACTGTTGAAAATCGTTTCGTTCCTCTTCATAGTTCGTTCATAGTCTTCAAAAATTGATCCTTCGAACCAAATTTTTTTTTATTGGAAGAAAACGTATTTCTCCGTTTTCTTTCATTCGATCGTTTCCCTTGATCAGAATAGATAATTTATTCGTAGAGCTGGACGATGGTCAACGTTACAGGCCATTGGCCATAGCGAGCGATTTCTTCACAAACGTCGACGCTTTGTCATCAATCTCCAACTTTCATCGTACATTTCGTCCTTGGATAGGTTTGAAGCTTCAATTTTTGTGGGTGATTCAATTTGTCGAAATCGAAAGGATGAGATTTTTTTGCGGCCATCTTTTGGATGAAATTTTCGATTTTCAACTTTCCATTTTTCAGCCCTCGCTCTACATTATTCTTTGATGTCTTGCATTAAAGAAGGCCAGTAAGCTACTTAATAGTTCGGACAGCATTTCAGAATGCGTTATATTTTTAAAACTTACAACCTACGTGCGCTATATATCTATGCATATGAAATTTTATTAGAAGCATTTGAAATGTGAAAAAAGTCGAAAATCATAACTATTAGTAGAAAAATGTCAGTTTCTCGGAGTTGAAAAGGGTAGATCGTGAAGGCACAGTCAAAATATAATTTAGACCTTCTAATATTTTCAGAGACCAAAATTTAAAAATCAACAATTTAAGTGGTCCTCTTAATCAGATTCACCGTGATTCGCCTATTTTGCTTTAAGCACTATTGAAAAGCGCGTAATATTCCTGTTCTGGGCTATATTAAATTAAAAAAATTCGTTGAAAGCGCCTAAGACTTGTCCAAAATTCTGATGCAAGACCTATGGATACCTACTTAATATAACTTGCTCCTAGCCTTTTAGAAAATGCTACTTCCAGCTTTTCTGCCCTTTCTTTACATTCCGCATCGATATAACCTTAATCCTCACAAAGATCTACTAATATCATTAGTCCACGCTACTCATACATTCGAGTTTCTTTCATCAGATGCGGAAGGAACGTAAAGAGATCAAATGCTGTTGATACTGCTGAGTCACTGATTCTTATATTATTTGTTTTTCACGCAGAAGGATTTACCCACTAGAAAGGCATGAAATGTCAACAAAAGTTTCAAGTGTATTTAGAGAGCGACGAATTTCTCACACTGTAGCTCCGTTTGTTGCTTTCGAGCTAGCAATCAAGAATACTTATTTTGTTGATATTCAACGATATTTGTTCTGGCACTTGTGTCTTGAAGTTATACATCCACTAATAACGGTGTAAGCTTTTTTCTTGGGGAAAGGGAAAGGTCGATAACATTCTTCTCGAATACAAGTAGAAGGTGCTAGCGGTACGCTCTCCAGAGTTTGATGCCTTCGAAAATTTTAGTTAGAAATAGTAAATTTAGAATTACAGACCCAAAATTCTAAAAGAAGGCTTAAACCATCTAATAACACTCATCCTTCACTTGTCCCTAGAACCTAATTTTGATATCTTCTCTATGCCACTTTGTTCTACTCAATCTGCATTTTGAATTCAAATATGATCTTAAAATTTTTTTTGCAGTTCCAGATTCCTATCAATGAGGCTTTTCATCGTTTTACTGCTCTCACTTCACACTTCCAATGCACAAATTTGCGCATCAGAAGTGCAATGTCCAGAGGGATCAAAATGTGTTGCTTCTAGTCTTGGCTACAGTTTGTGTTCGAAAATTGGCGCGGGCGCCCAGGTAAGGTTTTTTTATTTTGTGACAATATGTTTTTGTAGTTTAAATTTTTTCTATTTTTTCACTGCGTACGAGATCCGTGTGTATGTTGCGTCATCGATTGAAATGTGAAAAATACGCAAAAATTTTCAAGTTATTTGCTTTTGTATCCGAGTGTTCTACGATGATTTTGATTTTGACGTTCGATTGAGTTTTTGCGAAGTATATCGTGAAAGACTTAACACTTCCAAGACTTCTATGATTTACAATTGTTTAATTATTATTGTTTACTCTCACTTTCTATGTTTCTTTGAAAATTTTACCTAGAAACATTTCGGCTTAGAGATAAAAAGGTGGTAAATTCGTATATAGTCCCCTCCGAATTTCGAATACACAGCTTAAACCTAGAGCACCGCATAAACATAAAAATTCTTCAGAACATCACTGGAAACCGAATAGTATCAGAAAAATTAGAATATAAAAATTCACTGATTTTAGGTGGATTATCCGACACCACCGTCGTTTTATTGCAATACTGATAAAGACTGTGCAGCATCGCAAATATGTGCTCATGCACCTCAAGGAATTGGAATTTGTCAGGAATCTAGCTGTAGGTTTTACTTCACCCATATATTTACTTTGAATCTGAAAAAAATTCCATGAAGTGTAAAATATAGGATGGTCCATAAGTCTTACACCAAAAAATGCTAAATCACCTAAAAATTATTCAAATACACGTTTCAATTAATAGTTCATATTTTTCTATTCAAGTAGCGTAGTAGTAATCTTATTAGAGCCCAACCATGGTAACTCAGTAAAGTCGAAAATCATAACTATTAGTAGAAACATCCAATTATGACAAATTTCCCTCATTTAGAAAAGGTAAGTCGAACAACTATGGGCAAAAAAATAAATTCAAAATGGATGTTCTTTACTCAAAGATCAAAAATTAGAAAAACTACGATTTGTCTGTTTCTCTCAATCACTCTGTATCACCGTGATGACATGCCCTTACGGATTTTTATAAGCATGCTTAGAAAAAACACAATTTTCTCAAGCTGTTTTGAATTAAACGAATTCGTTGAAAGCACAAATACTTACGACTTTCAAAACAGTGGTGCAAAACTTATGGACCAACTCAATATATAAATATCTAAAGCTATAGAAAAATGGAAAAGTTACTTTGATCACTATAGGTTTACATACAAATTTCTTGCTTATCAAGATTGCTGGTCAAACAACCTATGTGATGTAAATAATATTTCAAAAATGACATTCTTAACACTTAATCATTGAGAAAAATGTATAGTTTAGCTTATCTCCTCCTCTTCAACAGACTTAATATTTTCACAATTTCAGCCGTCTCTTGCGTCTCCAACAATGATTGTCGTGATGGTGAAACGTGCGTTATGCTTCCGAATCTCCAAACGACTTGCCAAGTTACAGTAGGCGGCCATGTCCAAGCAAATATGAAATCAGTACAAGGTACACTTATAATTTGCTCATCACCAAATTGTGCGACTGCACACAATGCTTACATTACATGCCCTATTCCGTATTCGCAGATCTCAAAAAGTGCACTTATTTTTTTTTGCATAGGCGCTTTTTTAGCGTCTTCTTCAGCTTTTTTAGCACCAAAAGAATATTGTATGAGATCCACTGAAAATTGCGCCAGATTTCACGAACTGAAAATGTAAACAAAATGCCAAACGTACATACAGTAAAGTCTTTTCAACTCCATCCCAAGTTTACCCACGTGTAGAATCCCAGGGCTCCTTACTTGAAAATAGTTGGATAAAAGTGCTGGCCAACTTGAATACTTATTGAACGGAAAACTCGTGTGATGTAAGTAATTTCTGAGGAGTAGCTTTTTTTAGAAGCTGATTTTTACAATTTGATTTAAAAAATTACGATTTGATATGAAAACGATCAAAAATGAACAGCTACACATCAAGACACCCACAAGTACTCAAAAATAGAAAGTAGCAAGAACATTTTCAAAATGTGTAACTTGCGGCACGCACGTCGTGAGATGAAACATATGGCGTGCACTACGCAGAATAAGTTACAGATGACACGACTGCATAGGATTTGGGATGTATAAACTGTACATATATTCATAGTTATTCAACTGCAAAGATGTCTGCGAGAACGACTGGAGAGCACTCTTCTCATCAAGTTTAAGTAGCGTTTGAAACATAGAATTTTTCCATTTCTTTGAAGAAGTTTTTTTTTCCGAGATTTCAAGGCGAAATCTACGCAATCCTGGATGCAAAGAACTACAAAAATAATTTCTCATAACGAGCTCGTAAAAATTCAAACATTATTTCTGCTTTTGTTAGAATTTTATATAAATTAACAAAGTGTAAAATACTAACCGTGACCTAATTAAGGCTAGAAAATGAACAGAGAACATCTTGGCGAGGGGAACGCAGACTGCGTCGCGGACGCGAGCAGTCGCCTCCTAGGTCATGGAGCCCCGCCTTTAAAGGCAGCGTAGGCAGATCTGGACCTATAGGGCTTTTACGTGGAAAGTACTTTTGGAGCCCTAACTAAGGCACTGCCCAAGCGGCGCTCAGGTAGTGCTGTAATGGCTGAGATATTCCCCTCGAAACTGGACCCCGCGACCGTGTTTCGCATGGATTCATGGCGCAAAGCGTGGATCCTGGCGCGAAACTGCCATGAATCCATGCGAATACGTTCGCGGGGGCCAGTTTCGAGGGGAGTATCTCAGCCATTAGAGCACTACCTGAGCTGCCGCTTGGGCAGTGCCTTAGTTAGGGCCCCAAAAGTACTTTCCACGTAAAAGCCCCATAGGTCCAGATCTGCCTGGACGCTGCCTTTAACAGCCAATGTAGTTGAAACAAAGGGTAGTTTTGCGTATCTGAACTGATGCTGCATCAGGCTTACCTTTTGTGACCTTTGCCTCCAGAGGGGTGATTCGCACTGATGCTTACTTTGCGTATAATTGACCAAGTATATTTCAAATGTAGGCTTATAGCTTGCTTTTTTGCCAATTAGTGGGATAATTTGCAGCTAAATTGTTTGTTCCTACTAGCGGATAGATTAGCAGTGTACATATTTTGCAAATAAATATTGGTGTTTCCATTTCTGAAGGACTGAGTGTCATTACAGCAAATCAGTTAGAGCTTGAAGCCAATGAAAGTTTAATGCCTTAGCTTTTTTAGTCTCTATTCTGACCTGCCTGAAAACCTTGAAAGGGTTGGACTCTATTAGGCAAATAAATAGTTTTTTCAGGTTTTTTGCTTAGTATCCTGAAATGTAGAAAACGTTTTTTAAGTCTCTGAACTGAAGGTTAAAAGCAACAAATTATTCTTTTAGTCGGTGGCGTGGGACTATCCTGTCAACGTGATTCTGATTGTGGAGCTCAACAAAGATGTGTGGACTACCACGGTCAATGGAAATGCATGGTAAGCAGTATTAGAAGAGCTCAAGTAGATTTGAGTGTCAATTCTTATCTAGAACTAGTGGACCAGTAATCTAAAGGTGCTATTTGCAAGAGCGTTCGCTCCGGGACGCCACGCGGTTTCCCCTATTTGCACTTTTTTAATTGCGCTTACGATTCTTTATATATTATACACTTGAGAGGCGTTGATCAAGTCACTGCTCAAGCAGAGGCTCATATAAAATGTCCGAGAAAATTAATTTCATTCTTTCGCCCAGCATCGTATTCTTCCCGCGGACCATTCTGCGCGAATACGGTAGTGGGCAGGAGTTTCAAATTTGGAATTTTCTGTATTGAATGATTCAGTTACGCTGGCTTGGGTACTGAATTAGTTAAAACCTCATAAACATAAATTTATGATTTCCTGTGCACTATCTTCTAATAATAAAGAATCGTAATTCCGGTTCAAAAAACATCAGACAGCGGGAGACCGGCAGTGCGGTCCCGAAGCGCGGGGATGCAATCTAGCACCTTTAATTATTGGTAACTAGCTGGCTTACCCGGCTCCGCCGTATCCAGACCAAACTTGGCACACATACACTTCGGGCCCCGGCGGATGTCACAGTCCACTTTTCGTTATCGATCGATGTCGATTTTACCGATTTTTATCCATTTTTTTGCAGAGTTCACCTACAGGGCTAGGAGTTGGCACAGGGGGGGAAGTGAGCATGGGGATTCCGAATACAATATTAGTTTACAGGATCGTCCATTACTTTTATCGATTTTATCGATTTTTTGAAAATTTGAGCTAGGGGGCTGGGAGTTGGCACAGGGGGGTAATCGAGCATGCTGATCATCCCAGGTGATCAGCATGCTCGATTACACCCCTGTGCCAAATTCCAGCCCCCTAGCTCAAATTTTCAAAAAATCGATAAAATCGATAAAAGTAATGGACGATCCTGAAAACCAATATTGTATTCGGAATCCCCATGCTCGATTACCCCCCTGTGCCAAATCCCAGCCCCGTAGGTGAACTCAGCAAAGAAATCGATAAAAATCGATAAAATCGATATCGATCGATGACGAAAAGTAGCCTATGACACCCGCCGGGGCCCGAAGTGTATGTGTGCCAAGTTTGGTCCGGATCGGTTCAGAAATGGAATTTTCTATTCGGAACATACGTACACACAGACAGACAGACAGACATACAGACATACATACAAACAGACATTCAGCTTTATATATAAGATAGTTACGCTGCTTTGAGTACTGGCTTAGATTTAAGACCTTAGATTTGGTTCACTAGTTTTATTTATAATATCACATGGAACGAACAACACTGTTTCTAGGCAACGATCGACCTTAGTGAATGCCACACTAGTATGGACTGTGCCCAAGGAAAGATTTGTGCATATAGCACGTTTGTTTCAAGAAACATTTGCGTCGATCCAGGTGCTTGCTGATCCATCCTTGAACCTCAAGCTTAACAATTTTTTCAGCAAACCTAACAATCGGTGGAAATGTCGGATCCGGATCGGGTGCGAGTCCGACGATTGGAGGCAATGTCGGGCCCGGTTCAGGTACGAAACCAACGATCGGTGGCAATGTTGGATCGGCGAATGCATACATGAGTAATGGAATTTTGCAAGGTAGCTATGTTTTGAATGGTGGGTTCAGATGAAAAATGTTGTGAATAATCATCTTGGATGTTTTCCTGTTCGTCTTTTTCGTTTTGTATGTGTGTTTTGTTATTACAGTGTTGTGCATGTTTTGTACAGTGTTGATAAAAGGTCTGTCACCTTTTTGTATGTTGGTGTCATGGAGTCGGTTATGTAATATTGCAGTGTCGTTCTTTTTAAGAACATAAGTCCAGTTTTGTGTAAGTCTACAGAAATGAGTCCTAGATGATCATGACATAAATTTACTTAGAGCTGTCTTTATTTCAAATGTGTAAATTTCGAGTGTATTCTGAAGAATTTGACATGGACCATTTTGCCATTGAAGGCACATCTCACAAGGGAAGGAAGGTTGGTCAAAGTGGCTTTTTAGAATGAGGTGTATACTGCCTTGTAGAGCTTGGAACGCTGATTCCAATTCTACCTTTGCTATCTGCTGCAGCTTTCTGGGCGACGAGTTATGAAGGCTTTTGTGAGTAAAAATCTGAATGCAAAAATAGGGAAAAATCAATCGTAACCTTTTCCCAATGTTCAGATAAGGCAGCAGCGAAGTGGTATACTTGAATCAAGATTATTTGTTGCAACGAGTGACCCCGACTATCAATTAAGCCCTATGAAAAATGTTACGACTGATTTCAGCCTACTCTTGCATTCAGATTTTTGATCACAAACCTTCATAACTCGTCACCCAGAAGCCCGCAGCAGATAACAAAAGTAGATTTGTAATCAACGTTCCAAGCTCTACAAGACAGTATACATCCCATTTCAAAAGGCCACTTCGACCAACCTTCCTTTCCTTGCCAGATAAATTCCTCACATTGTCAGGTTGAGTTCCCTTCGATATGACAATCATTTGTAACTTAAAGGCAGCGTCCGGGCAAAATTTTGAATGGAATTTTCCTCGCTTACCTGGGTTTATCCTCCCCGCTGAGTTCCGAAAATGTAGCTTGGAGAGCACGAAAACGTCGAAAAGGGGCTTTTCCAGAAGCTCTTACTTTGAATTTTGTCACCTGCCGCCAAGGTTAAGACGCAGAGTCTTTGTAGGACCCTACGTTTTGACTGTGTGAGGTATGCGCTCTTTGGCTTATCTAATTAACTCGTCCCTATCGCCACTTCTGAAGTGGTTTTCTCGCTTCAAAAGCAATTTGGTGCATTGCTAGTTGGGCAGGAGCCTTACCAGGACGGGCGCCCCAGTACTCTACATTTTCGTATCTGCCCGGACGCTGCCTTTGATATCTGAGATTGCACACTAAGCACTATCATCGACGGCACCCATACTAGTAAGTTCTCAGTGAAACATTTTTCAGAATAACAAAATGTGGAAATGTATTCTACTGACTAACATATACCAACTTAACAACAGAAACAGGGAAAAAGGAGAAATCTGATATATAAAGAATCGTAAGCGCAATTCAAAAATGTGCACATAGCGGGAAACTGCGGCGCGGTCTCGAAGCGAACGCCTTGCCAATAGCACCTTTAGATTGCTGGTTCACTAGTCACTAGAAATGAGCAGGTTCTAGTTTCGCAATCCGTCAGTCAACGTGTATAGTGTGCACCACGCGTATCAAGTTACAAGTGACTCGATAATACTTCCCGTGCATGCAGCGACCATGGTTTGTTTATAATCATAGTACCATAGATATCTTTTGCAGGCTAAAATGTCAAGAAAATCCCTCACCATATGAGTAGCGCTGAATAGCGCTGATTGAAGTTAGCAACTATAATATCACCAGGCGACTTACATAAATAGTACACCCCTCATCAAAAATGCTTTTTACCAAATGATAGAGAAACTGCTCCATTCAGTAGTGATGATGGGAAGCTACAGACCTACTCCACACGATTCATTCTGATTTTGGACTCACCGCTTTTACTAACAAGATCAATTCAAAGCCTGGACCATCCCGGATAGATGCTGGCAATTTCTTCGTCTCATTGCAACAAATCTTGTGACCAGTATGTGAGAGACTAGGTTCACTTTTGATTGATGAGAATATTTAAAACGAGAGGCGCTTGATCCTACAGATTTTCATTGCCGTAATACAGAGGACCATGCGCTTATTTCATAACACAAAAAAGGGTTTTTTAGCTAGTTTTCTCGAGTCATGGCATATAATTTTACACTGACATATCGGACTAAACATATTGGAAGCTACAAATTTTTATTAAGCAAGATCAATAGAGCATATTTAGAGGATGAGAATGCTACAACAGTGACTACAGCACCGTATACTGTCAAGTCGTCCACGATTACATCTGCTGCCATTGCAGTGATTGGGTAGGTAAAGCAAAATCTATCGAATGCAAGTCAATGTAACCATTTTTTCAGCAAATCCGAAGACGGGGACAAAGTCAAAATTTTGAAGACACGATACGCTGTAATGAGACAACCACAAGTCGTTCCAAAACAAGCAGTCATCGATCCAGCCGCTTTACCTTGTGAATTTGATTATCAGGTAAGCATACGTAGATATTGAAACTTATCCATCTCCCTTCCGGAGTTACCAAAATTATAAAAAGTTATTTATTTTGTCAATTTTTCCATTCTTCTTTCTCTTTTAGTGCCGTATGGGTGAAAGCTGCTCCAGTGTAATAGCCTTGGTGGACAGAAATATTACGGTATGCCAATATGACGTCACGAAAGAGGATCGCATGTGTATTTATCACGCTGATTGTCTTCAGGGACAGGTATGGAGGCGTTTACAGCTTGTGGCGAAAATCACGCAGAGTGCAATCACACAAATATGTGTGAGCTGGCCCTGTAATTAATCTACCCCAAGGCTGCGTTAAAAAGGTTATCAGTACCATCCCGTCTTAGTGCCATATCGAAACGTATCGATTGATACGGGTTAAGTTATCGTGGACGCCCATATGGCGCTGGAATTACGCTGGAACGGCGTTGGCACCGTGTTGGCACATTTCTGGCACACAGCGCCGGCACTCGGGCGACTCTGAACGGAGCCTGATCAAAGCTGTAGCTCTGAATAACATTAACGAAGCAGTGAAAGTTGCCTAAAGCAAGCGCGTAAGAGATTGCGGAGCACAAAAAATTAGATTACGGAAGAAAATAAAGAGAATTGGTCCCTACACGCTACCGTATACTCCATTTGAAAATCCCCTACACTTTACCGTGTACTTTATTCAAAGACCTTGCACAAGTGTTGTTATTGGACTTTGCATGGCTTTCGCGTTAGAAAACTCCAGAAAACTCCAGAAAATCCTCCAATGTTATAATTTTTTAATTATTGTTTTTCCAGCTATGCACGCGAAATAAAAACGGGACCTATGTCTGCACAGCATCCATAGAAGCGGCTTTAGGAACAGTGGCATGTACTTATGACTATGAATGTTCAGGCGGTGAAAAATGCACGAATATAGCAGATCAAGGCAAAGAAAAGGTAATATTTTTGCATTTTGGGAGTTTGCAAAATTCACATTGCTGTTTTTCCCAGATTTTTCGCTGTCGTCAATCACCATACAAGGATCCACGTCATGATCAACCATGTCGAACAAATGCCGAATGCCCTTATCAGCAGGTCAGTACACTTTTACAGTAAGAACCTGCTCATTTCCAGTGAATTCTCCTTATTTTCTTGTCGCTCTGAATTTGGATGTGTATCGTAAATGTTTACACAGATTGAAATTTTTTACGAGTTTACTTGATTCCCAAGTGCAAATCTGTAAAATCTATAAATAGTCAAAACTGAGAATTTATTACCGGACATTGTTCTAGGTTTGTCGTCGCGTTGCTGGTGTCGCTTTATGTGTTGACATCGTTGCATCAACTGATCCCGCAGCCATGCTGAATCTTCAAAGAAAAGTTGTCAAATTTGTACAGGACTTAATTTTTGCCCGAATTTAACGTCTTAGATTCAGGGCTCGGCACAGGTGGCTTACAAGCAAGCTGGATATCGTTTTTGGGACGAAAAGCAAAGGTGGTTTCGTTTTTGTGAGCGAAGACATACGGAAAATTGACGACGGCGACCTTTTTTTTTTGTTAGTCGACGTTTCGTTTTTTGGGGGATTTTCGGGAATTTTTCAGGTTTTTAGAAGAAATTTGGTTCAGGGTCAAAGGGGACTTCGTAAAAATTCCCAAAAGTCAAGGGAGACTTCGTTTTTTCCATTTTCATCTAGCCACCTCGTGCCGAGCCCTGCTTAGATTCTTGGCATATTTTTCACGTTTTAAAAATTCTCTATAGTACCGCCCTGATCTTCTGCAAAAAAAAGCAAATTTCTACGTAATCACCGTGAAAAACCCAAATCTCAGTGTTTGCCTCTAGGCCCTTCCGCAAGAACAGATAATTCTAAACTGGAAAAAAAATATTCTCGCTTGGCATAATGATTGCCTACCAACTGATAACTACTAATAGTCTTTCCGTGTTTGCACACATTATAAAGACATGCAGTCTAGTATTACACCTAATGTATCGAAACTCTACCGTATGTTACTGTATCCAAAAATTTTTATCATACTATATATCGAAATATTTCTACCATTAAATCATATACTTTTCTCTCCAATCCGTTAAATCATACACTCTTCTCTCCAATTTGAAGAGTATTCACTACATGGGATCTAAAGCAAACAAAAATTAGTTTTTTCCTCAGAAGGCAAGAGCGGCAATCTATTATACTTTTTAACGTTGCAGCATATGTGATACGATAGCTCAAATTTGCTATTCAGTTATGTTATGGTTTTTGTTGGTTATATGGTGAGATGTTAACTGATGGTTTACAATGATTCATAAAATGAATATACTGTCTACAAACAAAGAGATGTTTTTATGAGCGTTTTGTTGAATAAATGGAGTAAGTAGATTCAAAGGCAGTAGTGTCTATATATGTAATCAAGAAACCAGAAAAACTTTTACCAAAATTTCCTGAATGATGCTCAGTTCTTTCCGTTGATTTTCACTTGTAAAAAAATTAGGCCAAAATCCCAGCAAAAATTCCACGTAGAAATAACGAAATCTGAAAAGGAATTCAAAAGCAGTTGTTGATTGGACATTAACCTATATTAATTTTTTAGGTTTTTTTTTGCTTTTAAGCAGGAAATGTTGAACAATTCTTTTTAAACATATGTTTTCTCTAAGTATATGGTTTATTAGCGAAAAGCAAACGATTCTTTCCACTGATCAAATATTTTCAAATACAGTCCAAAACATTTGATACGCAAAGCAGAAGATAAGAAACCAATTAACCAAGTTTTTTTTCTCTTCTTGTTCAATACTGAACTGCTTCGCAATAAATAATATAAAGACGATTTCCGTACTACTCATAATCAAAACCTGCGTGGCTTCCATATTCGGACATAAGAGGAGCGGTACTCGAAAAAGTTTTAGTTTTGAACTGAATAGTTTTCGATTTTCACAAAGTATCATGGGTTTCGGTCTTTCTAGCGCTAACACAACAAGTTTTTCAAAGAAATCTTTATTTGGCAATGTTTCTACATAGTAACCATGTCGTTTCCCGTAGTACCGCCACCCGTTGTACCGCCACCAGTGGTACCACCAGTGGTGTCGCCTGCACTTGTGCCCGTTGTTCCCATCGTTGAACCGCCACCGGTCGTGCCCATGGTGGAACCGCCGCCACCTGTGGTGCCAGCAGTTGTGCTGCCAATTGTAGACATCATGCTGGCTCCTAGAAACGAGAATAAGAGTAAAAAAATGCACAAATAGATGAGTAGAGCAAACCTGTTGCTCCGGTTGTGGTGGCTCCGAAAGTGCTTCCCGTGACTCCACCGGTAACGCCAGAAGCATCGCATCCATACCTTTTGTACATTCCTCGATACCTGGACGGTTTTTTTCATTAAATTTCGGAATTTGCGACAATATTCGTGCTACTCACCAATCTGCATAGAAGCTACGTCTACCGAAATAAAGGATTAATCCAAAGATGACAATCGCCAACAATGAACCGACAAAGAATCCGTAAAATATCGCCCATATAAGCCATCCTGTTCGTCGTTTGCCAAGCTTTCCTCCAAGCCCTATAATATTTTTGATAAAAACTCTATGGTTGTAACAAGTCGTGTCGATAACCTCCTTCCAAAATTTCTCCAATATCTCTTGGTTGTGTGGTTGTTGCAGGAGCGACGGCAGACACATTTGGTGTAGATGGTGGCTGAACAAGAGAAAATGGCTAGCTCCGCCCTAATGGCTCGCTCCGCCCATTCAGTGATAATGCATTTGAAGAAAAGCGTTGTTGGTTGCTATGTAGTGACTTAGCAAAAACGTGGATGAATGGAAATCGATGAAAATAATTCAAAAATTATGTTCCGTTTTTTTGATAGTAAAAGAGGCTTTAACTTTGAAATTCTCCTACATTTTGGGGCCAGTGGCGATCACGCGACCAAAGAGATTTTAACTCATTGAATATGATGCGAACCAACGCTGGCCCACGCACTTTTTGTCGCCAGCGACGATGTGGACCACCGGTGGCTCACACCCCTTGCAAAATCATATCCTTTCCAGGTCTAATATTTTTGCCACAGTTCAGCATATTTTCCAATTTTTTGCACTCTTGGAATCTTTAGACTTGTTCGTCCAAGAAGATGGCTGTAGTTGTGTATAAAACATTTTTACTTTTCGTAAATTAATCTCAAAACTTTCCTGCGCCGAGTGTTGCGTGTGTGTGTTGTGCAAAATCGCGTCGTCATAGCGCCGCCACGCAAAATTAGGCGTCCTCGTCAATGGGTTAAAAGACAAAAAGTGCTTGCACCAGTTATAGGCAATTTAACGCATGCAGGAACTGGATGCGATCATAATAGTAAGTGTCTGAAAGAGGCAGCAGACGGCTATAGAAATGAGAGTGCGTGGGATCTGAGAGACGCCGGCAGTGTCCGCAATAGCGCCCTGTTTTTGCTAGTGATAAATACCCCCCTATACACTGTATGTGGAAATTATGTAAAAAACTGTTAGTATTTTGCACTTACCGGGGCAAGTGTGGCCAAGGTTGGATGTTCCCCAGCAGGAGCATAAGTGACAAATTCGCCTTTTCCTCTAGATACATCATCAATCGGCTTGTCCTTATCTATTTGAAGAACTTTTCCGTTATTTTCGCCCTAAAACCAAATGAGGTCTATATAGAGAAGTTACTATCGAAACTTATCGCACCATATGCATGATTCCATATCTCTTAATAAGGCAATTATGATTTGAAAAATAGAAAATAATATTGCCATCGTGATTTACGTTTTTTGTGGATGCCACTCGTTCTCTTCCGACAGACCATATGGAAAACTAAAAATGAGCAGTGTTAGCCCAAAAGGGGAATTTTGCATGGAACGAAAAGAATAGCGTTACCCTTTCACCATCGTAGTCGAAACCAATTTGCGTAGGATAAACCTTACTACTGCCTTTCCTTTCTCGTTTCACCAATCTTATCGGTGCACCATTTTCTAAAACATATATGAAGGCAAACTAATGGCTTCGAAGGATCCTTTTACATTATAGGCCTTAATCATTTAGGCTAAAAACGTCATTTGAGCAGAAGTTTCGAAATTTGAAAAAAAACTCGAATTTGAACACTGGGCCCCTCCTCCCGCGTGGACAACAGGCACGAGACTTTATTGTGTAAAAGTGCGTAGTTTGTTGCAATTGTCTTAGCGGACTTCCCCTTTCGGCGGCGTGAAGTCCGACTTTACTAATGGTGACAGTTTGCGGAGGTGTCTGCGGGTCCCGAGCGGAACAGTATGCATCAATAGCTATTTGGTTTTTGTAAGCGGGCAGGCGCAAAGGTTGATCCAACGATTTGTTATCTCGATCATATCCGTGACGTGAGTAATGTATTTGATTCAGTTTTTTATCTTTTTGGGGGGGGGGGGGAATTTGTTAGCGTATCATACGAGAAGTTTGGACTTCCTAAATCACCCGGTTGAAATTGACGAATCATGTCTGCTACGGGTAATGTTTTATATGGAGTGGGTAGAGGAATACAATACCACCCGTAATTTGTGAAAAAAAATGGCGGCGGCACTTAACTTACGCGGCGCCGCCGAAGTTAGGTGACTTTTGCCGCGTCGTGCGACAAAAGTCGGCGGAAAAGCGGCAAAAGTCACCTAACTTTGTCGCGCAACGCCTAACTTTTTATAAAAAAAGACCTTATCTTGATTCAAAATTTATGAATTCTATATATAAGAGTACCATTCAACTCAGCTCGGCGAGGCGCATCTTCCAATATACGGATGTGCCTAGTTGTGGGATATAAGTTTCTTTCCTGGAATTTTAGTGTAAATGGACCATTCAGTGTGCTTATTCCAGAGGCTACGTACACATTCCATTGAGCACAGCAGAAATAGGGCAGGTATAGTTTAAGAGCTCATTCTGTATGGATATATGTGAAACTGGGCAGCTCATTCTGCATGGATATGTGTGAAAGTGGGCTTCTCTCGGCGAAGTATGACGGGTCCCAAAATGCAGGAAGAAAAAGGGAAATGGTTGGAAATCGCATGAGAAGCACATATCGCGGAATGCCGCGCGTGCTGTGCAATGTACAATACCACTCACAGAACGGGAATTGCGCGAAATTCCAGAAATTTCGCGATTCCGGATTATCGTAAATTATGCAGCGCCATAACTTCCTTCGGAATTAATATATTCTAAATTCGAAAGCAGCACTGTGTTCATCTCGTCAAGGCGAATCTTTCTACATACGTCATGTCATCTATATCTTGTTTTCAGTTTTCTCAAATTGTTCTGAGGAGGTCCCTTTGCAAGTATGTAACGCAGCGCCTATCCAACTTGAAAGCTTCCAGTATGCACCATTCGATAGTGCTCTTCTTGTGCATTATAGTGCGCTAGTAAGCTGCCGCAGGCTTCTTTTCAAAAGAGAAAAAAGCGTTGGTAAATTCTGGAAAAATCACTCGTTTCCAGATTCTACTCGCCGTAACTTTCTTTGGAGTGGATATTTTCTAAATCCGAAAAATGCATTGTGCTCAGCTCATCAAGGCAAATCTTTCGGTATGCGGAATGTCCTTGATATCTCGATTTCAGTATTCTCAAAACTTTCTGCGGACGTTTCTTCGCAAAGGTGTGAAGCAGCGCGTATTGCCCCCAGTACATTCAGAAAGAAATTTTCGATAGTACTTCTTTTGTAGATTATGGAGCGCTGGAAAGTAGCCGCGTACTCCTTTTCAAAGGAGTTAGAAGGGCTGGTGAATTCTGGAAAAATCATGTTCTTCTAAATTTTTCTCAACGTAACTCTAAAATATGAAGCTCTCTTGCTAAGCAGATGTGATTTTCGTAACCAGCAGGTCGGATAACCCTTATGAGCATGTTTTCCAAGATGTTCAAGTAATTTCATTTTTTCTCGTTTTACGCTCTGAAGCTGGCCGATGGATTTTGGTCAAAATGTTCATGCTCTTAAATTGTAAGGAAACTTCGCTTATAGAGGTTTTCGAACACGCTCTTTACGAAAATCGTGGTCCTTGAGGATTACAGGGTCTTTTTGGTGAGATACGGTGAGGTGACTGTAACTGCATCACGAAAGTGCGTAAATTGGCCCGCACTTCTCGCGTATCTGTCAGCAACCTTGCCTGCTTGCTTTTCTCAGTCAAAGTTACTAGGAACTGCGCTACCGAATGGTGCATGAATCAGGCTCCAATCTGTAAAAATCACCGAGTTACGAGCCTATGAAAACACGTCCTCATGGATTTTGCCCAAAATCTAAAGATCGCATATCTCGTCGAAATTCCTCCGTGAGCGCTTGTATGACACTCGCATTGCGGATATTGTGTTCGCTTCGCCCAAAAACTCCCACTGTATTGAATATGGTACTTGCATATGCTTCAGCTACTCAGTTGAATATCAGAGCTATTTCAGTGGCTAGAACTCAAACTACTAAATCTAACACAATAAGATCCATTAAGGACGCGAAAGATTTTGATCAGCGTGTTGTACAAGCGCTCACGGTGGAACTTCGACGAGATTTGCATCTTTAGATTTTGGGCAAAATCCATGAGGACGTGTTTTCATAGGCTCGTAACTCGGTGATTTTTACAGACTGGAGCCTGATTCATGCACCATTCGGTAGCGCAGTTCCTAGTAACTTTGACTGAGAAAAGCAAGCAGGCAAGGTTGCTGACAGATACGCGAGAAGTGCGGGCCAATTTACGCACTTTCGTGATGCAGTTACAGTCACCTCACCGTATCTCACCAAAAAGACCCTGTAATCCTCAAGGACCACGATTTTCGTAAAGAGCGTGTTCGAAAACCTCTATAAGCGAAGTTTCCTTACAATTTAAGAGCATGAACATTTTGACCAAAATCCATCGGCCAGCTTCAGAGCGTAAAACGAGAAAAAATGAAATTACTTGAACATCTTGGAAAACATGCTCATAAGGGTTATCCGACCTGCTGGTTACGAAAATCACATCTGCTTAGCAAGAGAGCTTCATATTTTAGAGTTACGTTGAGAAAAATTTAGAAGAACATGATTTTTCCAGAATTCACCAGCCCTTCTAACTCCTTTGAAAAGGAGTACGCGGCTACTTTCCAGCGCTCCATAATCTACAAAAGAAGTACTATCAAAAATTTCTTTCTGAATGTACTGGGGGCAATACGCGCTGCTTCACACCTTTGCGAAGAAACGTCCGCAGAAAGTTTTGAGAATACTGAAATCGAGATATCAAGGACATTCCGCATACCGAAAGATTTGCCTTGATGAGCTGAGCACAATGCATTTTTCGGATTTAGAAAATATCCACTCCAAAGAAAGTTACGGCGAGTAGAATCTGGAAACGAGTGATTTTTCCAGAATTTACCAACGCTTTTTTCTCTTTTGAAAAGAAGCCTGCGGCAGCTTACTAGCGCACTATAATGCACAAGAAGAGCACTATCGAATGGTGCATACTGGAAGCTTTCAAGTTGGATAGGCGCTGCGTTACATACTTGCAAAGGGACCTCCTCAGAACAATTTGAGAAAACTGAAAACAAGATATAGATGACATGACGTATGTAGAAAGATTCGCCTTGACGAGATGAACACAGTGCTGCTTTCGAATTTAGAATATATTAATTCCGAAGGAAGTTATGGCGCTGCATAATTTACGATAATCCGGAATCGCGAAATTTCTGGAATTTCGCGCAATTCCCGTTCTGTGAGTGGTATTGTACATTGCACAGCACGCGCGGCATTCCGCGATATGTGCTTCTCATGCGATTTCCAACCATTTCCCTTTGTCTTCCTGCATTTTGGGACCCGTCATACTTCGCCGAGAGAAGCCCACTTTCACACATATCCATGCAGAATGAGCTGCCCACTTTCACACATATCCATGCAGAATGAGCTGCCCAGTTTCACATATATCCATGCAGAATGAGCTCTTAAACTATACCTGCCCTATTTCTGCTGTGCTCAATGGAATGTGTACGTAGCCTCTGGAATAAGCACACTGAATGGTCCATTTACACTAAAATTCCAGGAAAGAAACTTATATCCCACAACTAGGCACATCCGTATATTGGAAGATGCGCCTCGCCGAGCTGAGTTGAATGGTACTCTTATATATAGAATTCATAAATTTTGAATCAAGATAAGGTCTTTTTTTATAAAAAGTTAGGCGTTGCGCGACAAAGTTAGGTGACTTTTGCCGCTTTTCCGCCGACTTTTGTCGCGCGACGCGGCAAAAGTCACCTAACTTCGGCGGCGCCGCGTAAGTTAAGTGCCGCCGCCATTTTTTTTCACAAATTACGGGTGGTATTGTATATGTCGCCGAGATGGGGCGTTCCCCGCGGTCATCTGCAACAAATACGCACTCTTTCACATGCATGGAGGTCCATTGTTGCAAGAAGTCTGCGCGGGACCCTCCTACACTCGGCGACCAGTAGTTTCGACCCGCATTAGGCGGAAATTGGACTGGCGGGAGTCCACCTCGCAACAGCTCGCGCCGTTTCGCAGCTACAGTATATCTTATCGTGCTGAGAACACCCAAGTCTGCGTCTCTTTAATCTCCTTAGTCTTTGCTTGAAATGCCAGCGCTATGCGCTCGCGAAGCCTCCAGCGATGCGCATGCGCTGCACCACTGAGACTGTCTCGTCTAATCCGGGATGAAACCGACTGTATAGTCTTCCACCCTATGGGAATTGTCCTCTGGAAATTGATTGATCACGAAAGCTCAAATCGAATGTGAAATTGAACACTTACGGGATCCAGGCATCACTACGAAAGCATTTCTGACGAACACATTGACCAGATCTTTATCATTACAGTAGTACTTTTTAGTTTTCGCTCCCGGAGCCCCCAAGATACATACTTTAAACCTATATCATTCAAGGTAGTTAACAATAATTCGCAGCATTTTATGACCTACCATTCGCACTTGCTACCATCAACCCAAATTTTCGAATAGAATGGCATGTTTGGCACCATTTTATAATGAAACACTTGTCCCAAATCACACCTAGAAATAATTTTTCCAATTCATCATTTCTTTTATCATCATAGTGAAACTTACTGAGCATTACAATCAATGCTTTTCAAAACATTGACTCCCATCCAAAACGCTTTTCCCAAAAATACATTGTTGCCCCCTTTATAAAGTCTCTAAAATTTTTGAGCTCAAGGTTGACCTAAATTATCTTGAGGTGATAACTCACTCGTTCATGATGAAACGTTGGTTGGAGGTAAAATCCAGGATAATTTTTCATCATTTCTCGGATTTTAGGTGGCTTATTTTGGAATCTTAAAATCTACTCGAGTTCTTGAATGATTTTGCAACCAATGAATTTAGTGCTTTTGAGCTGTGGAGAAGAGCACGTGTACCATTCAGTCATACGACTCATAGGCATCAACATTCGCTGCCCCAAAATTTGTCTGCTAAAGGCTACTTCCCGGTCAAGGCGATGTTCAAGGCGATGATCATAAGCATACCTTCGATACATAGAGACATGTACTCTGGTAACCTTCACTTTGAGCTTCATGATAGAACACAACCTTCACCTGGGGAGAAGTACAGAAGTCATCAGGGGCGAAGTCCCGGAAATTATGACATAACCAATGACATAACCGTATAGGGATGAATTTAAATGAGGCAAATATAGCAGTGACATTCAAAAGAAGCTCAAAAAAAACCGAAGGATTGCGTTTTTATGGCCTTTTTTGTTGAGAAGAAGGTTTTTATTTGAAAATTCAACCAAAAACTAGGGCAAAATTTCTCAATTAACCTTTCTCTGAACTGCGGTTGAATGTTGGAAGTTCATTAAAGCCGCTAGAGTTCAATAAAAACGAAAAACTGCGCTCAAATCTTGCGCAAAGAGTCGCCATATGAATGCTGGTCTATCTCGTTATGGAGTGATTTTTAAGACCCGCGACGTTGTCAGTGCTCGTGGCCGTCTCATGAGGATCACAACGATATATAATTTTGTAGGGTTTCGTTGAGACCCTGCGAAGATCCACGACCAGAGCCAAATGCCCCGTCGGCTCTGGTCTGTCTCCGCTGCTCGTCTGCGTCTCCGCGCGCTGCGCGCTACCTCGCTACCTCAAATGCGGGGCGCGGGGCATTTGGCTCTGGTACCCTTTTCTTCGTTGTTCGGAGCTTAATTTCGATAATCTATATATCATATTAAAGCTCTTGATCTCTATTTTCACGCTGACAACGTCGCGGAACTTCTTTTTAGGATTTAAACGAGAAACCCTCGAAAAACGGCGTTTTCGAAAACCTCTTGTTTTTTCTTCAGTTTAACTTTTTTCACTCGGTTTTTTTGTGCATCCGATAGGTCTTATTTCTGTCTATGATGTAGACAACGTCGCCGAGCTTACTTCTTTGCTTATGCCGGTTTTTTTTTGTGAAAAATACAAAAAAGTGTGTTTTTCTTTACCTTGTTCTCTTTCTGTGCTTGCAGCGAATTTTTTCCAGCTTGGACGATACTTGCTCAGAATGATGAGGTGAAGAATCCAGACAACATCGCAGCGTACGAAACGAATATGCGGGGGTGAAAATTTAAAGGACGCATCGAAAATCAGATTGGCGTCGATGTGCAACACAACTTTACAGACATGTTTGACGTGTTCAATTCAGTTTTTGACAAGTTTTCCTTCTTTCGGTCTCCCAACTACCGCCACAGCTAAACAGCGCTTTTTTAGTTGAAAAAGAATTTTGTTCTTGTTGCCACCCAATTTAACCGGCAATCCTGAAGACGAAACTGTGCGTAGGAAACCACCAAGTTAAAGTTTCAAATTTGGTGATGTGCTAATCTCTGCTTTATATGAATTTTTCAAGTTTCCTGGTTTGATTCACATCTCTAAATTCCCAACTATTTTTCTGAAACAACCTTCACTTTTTATAGGGGGCAAGAACTCAAACAACTATCACTTTCTAGCCCTTGTCTCTTGACTATCGAAGGTATGATCATAAGCAATCTCAACGCGGCGCGTGAGCGGTTATCGCTTGTTGGTTCTTTCTATGTGATGAGTGTAAGTAAGAGCGAGATGATGGTTTATGGGATACGTAAGATGGCTGACCGGACCGCCTTCGCGCACGCTTCGCGACGATGTAGCAGTTGCCTTTGTCCGTAATTAGCCTCTAGCTATCTTACTCAGAATTATACGCCATTCAGTTGAGATCACATTTGTTTAGCATATCTCCTTCATTTTTGACACAGCAAAAATTTTCATACCTGTGCCGTATCGAATGTGTTTTGCTCAAGGACAATACGCATCCTGGGTCAAGATTCACAATGATTTCGCCCTCTTCAACCTGAAAAATTGGACTTTTTTTTATTTTCCACCCACTTAAAGGCAGTGGCTCGGCAAATCTCAACCTAGTCAAATTTGAGCTTACCTGGGATTTTTCAATACGCTGATCCCGAAAATCCACTTTTGAAAGCTTGAAAACGGCGAAAATGAGCGTTTTTAATGCCCTTCCCCTTGATATTGGACGAGTGGAGCAAGGCCGATGACGCTAAATCGTGGCAGGACCCAATGGTTATAGCGTTGCGGCGGGCAGCCTCCAATGATGAGAAGAAAATTGCCAACTCGTCCAGATGCGTGTAAGATTGGCCTGCGCGTGTAAGTTCGAGAGCGATTCTCTCGGCAGGGAAAGCATGCTGTGCAACCGGGATTGCACTGTTTTCATAGTTGCGCGATAAGGAACCTACCGAGTTAAATTCCCGAGTTGTTGGATTTTGCCGATCTACTGCCTTTATAAGACAATGTTTAGGGTTGCCCATGTGGCAGTGCTATGCCAACGTCGTTCCATTGCCGTGCCGAGTGCATGTGAACGCGGTATTGATTGATCGACGTGCACGGCGCTGGTATATTGCTTGCATGGGCAACTATAAACGCATGAACGAACTTTAAATTTGCTTGCGTCAGCGTCTGTAACTTTATCTACACTCAGCAATTTCTTTGCATATGGAAACCAGAGTTTCATGCTTTGAGTATCACACATTGTACTTCCTTTACCAGGTTTGCAAATCAAAACTCTAAAAGATATGTTAGCTATTTTTAGCTGAACGGGAACTAAATTGCGTCGAACTTCATGCAGTATTCTGCCTTCAGCTCATCTTTCGTCTTCACTTCGACGATATCGTTGGCATTCGGCAAACATCTAAAAATCGGCAAGTATCGGACAACAAGCAAAAATAAATTTATCAGAAACATTAGCAACCAAAATGTAAGATTTGCTTGTAATATTGCTTCATTGTTGACAATAGCCAATTATGGATCATTCGACAAAAAGCCAACATCCCCAGGAACCGTCGTAACTTAGTATGTATGTCTACACATTATGCGCGCCAACTGACGACACCTTTACTAACTCCCCGGTAAGGTAAGGCCTTTTCTGATTTAACAGGCCGTGTAGACATATACTACTGATAAATATCAAGTGAAATCAAAAGGGACAAGGAAACACGAAACAAGCATGGAAATGAACAGCTTACTAGCTTATAAGTCGTCAAGTACCACGCTTCTTGTGCAATAAGCATATTAGGCTTCAAATGAATCAGCTATACTCCCAACGGTGAGAAACGGTGAATTGTACAGATATAATAGACTACTGTAATAGACCTGTGCAAAATGCACAAGCAAATGATGGAAATTGGAGCATACGATATGCTTAGTCGAAGTGCCTTACTCTACGTCAAGTCTTATGCTCCCCCCCCCCTCCACCCTTTTACTAGCGAAAAAGGCTTTTTTTCTGAAGTTTTCTGTTCTTGTCGAAGAGAGACCAAAGCATACCGTATTTCTTTACTTTTGTTTCTCTCTACGTATACACCACAGCATCATCAAACACTATATTTGAGCGAATTTCACTTCCACGGTCTATTCGAGCATATTAGGATTGTACCAGTTAACATATACAGCTTCGCCCCTCCCTTCAATGCAATAACTCAAAGGTCGCAATTTTCTGACTCTATACCACATTACCCTCTCTCTGTCCACCCAACACATTCCCAGACACTGTGTCTCTCGACACCTCAGCACAAAGTTTGCAAAAAAAAAATCAGCAAAATCATTGAGGATAATCGATTATTTCAATGATTGCAATTCTTATGACATCGGCCCCGAAATGTATTTGTTCAGAGCTTGGATTTTATTCAATGCGCTCAAGGCGTTCCACATAAAGGAAAGATAAACAATGATTATCAGTACACAAACAAAGGTGGTAGCAATTTAGTCAAAACCATCATCTCAACTAGATTTTCATAACATGAAGTAACAAATAGCTTCACATCACCTTCACAATGAAATCACGAAGTAACCATTCGGAAACAATGGAGATATTCAAATAATTCTAGATTTAGCAAAATGAAGTCAGTGAAACCGTCAGGATCTTATGTTTGACCGCCTTCATTACAGTTTACAAAATTTGCAGTTTGGTCCTCGCTTTGCATTTCTCAAAACCTTACCTAACAAGGAGAGGATACTTAGTCGAAAGCACCAATCCAGATGAGACATAGATCATCTCAAAGCACTTGAAACGCTGATTCTAAATCTGCAGTTTCTAGCTGCGGAGCGGTTTTGTAGAGGGAGCTATGTGGGGTGTTTCCTCCGGGGTTGAGGCGCCCTCCACCAGGTCTCCCTTTATCCATGAGACTGTAAAGGAGTACCAACTGGTGGCAACTGGCCTAGTGGTAAGTAACTTGAATGAAGATTACAGTAATATCATAATACTCATACTACTTCGGTTTTTTTTAACACTTCCACTTCGATTAGTATCAATATCATCAGAAGTTTCATGCTTTAGGGCTCTAAAGCCATTTAGAAGTTCAATTTAGCATGCGAAGGGATTAAAACCTTGACACTCTCTTTATCAAGCACGTCACTTACCACTAGGTCAATTGCCACCATTTGGTACTCCTCTACAGTGCTCATAGGTAGGGGCAGACCTGGTGGAGGGCGCCTCAACCCCAGAGGAAACCCTCATAACTCCCTTTACAAAAACCGCTCCGCAGCTAGAAACTGCAGATTTGGAGTCAGTGTCAAGCGCTCTAAAATGGTATATGTCTCGTCTGGATTGGTGCTTTCGACTAAGTATCCTCTCCTTGTAAGCTGTAATCAGTTAAACCTCCGCATACTAACTTTCAAGATGACCTTCTCGTAATGTGTGAAACCTTCATTGTTTCAAACGAGAAAGTGGTCAAGGGCCCTTTTGGATTAGACAGTGTTGGTTTCACATCTGCGTCCCACGAAGTAATTAATTCTCTTTACTCTATCTGATAACGAAACAATGATGTTAATGTGCTATTTGTTTGCTAGTTTTGTTTAGAAAAATACCATAAAACAATCATGTTAATTGCTGGTTACTTGCTCGTTTCGTGATTTTGTATGACCGATTGAACTGAGAGACTGTCAGAAGATGAACACTTTTACCACAACGTAACCATGGTCAAGCCATCCATCATGTGATGGTTATGATCGAATTACTACCACTCCAGGAGCGATATTCATCATTGATACCTGGAGGTAAATTCTACCTCCAAGTAGCTTTATCACTCATTATCAGCAAGTACCCGTATTCACAAAGTACCTTGAGGTAAATTCTCAATGTAATTCTGCTGATAATGAGTGATAAAACTACCTGGAGGTAGAATTTACCTCAAGGTATCAGTGATGAATACGGCCACAGGAGCGGTATCTACTCAATCTCCCACCCGCTGTTCGGGCCATTATTAACGAGCGCTCGGACAGGCGGAAGCACCAAACTATTATTTATAAATGTTTGAGGCTTGTTGTCCAAACGGGTAGCAGAGCCCGATCTGTCGAGATCGGGCACGATGGGGCATCTGCCATGCCCGACATGGTCAAACTTGCCAGATAGGACCGTATCTTCAAAGAAAGAGGAGCTTGATCATCAGCTTGGCTTCGTGTATCACGGGCGTCAGTGCCCGCGCCTATGCCCCGGCTGTGACCTGCGCAGGAACCCCTTGCATTATAGGAGATTGATGAATACCGCCCCAGAACATGGTAACAGAGGGTGACAGAACATGGTAACTGAAAGTGTCAATCTGGTCAATCTTTTTTTTTCTGTTCAAAACAAACATGCCGCAAAACTTTGACTTTGTACATATATGAGACATCAGAAGATTTTCATCTATTTTTTGAGTTGGTAGCCTCATAGTTGCAAGACAATTGAAGACCGCAAACTGGCCGACAGTTCGTGATCAAGTTGAAAATTGGCAGGCACTAGTTCCTCAAAAATTAAGAAAGAATGCACTCGCCATATTTTTTTCGAGACAATACTCAAGATTTCTCGACACTATTGGGAGTAAACTACTTACGGTGCATTATCACCTGTGCCCAAAGGGATCTTTACATCTCCACCACATCTCATAGGATAAATGCTTGAAAAGGAGCTGTGCTTGTCAAAACTTGGCACTTCCGGTGTCCAAAGCAAAACAGCTGGCGCCGAAGCCTTAATCAGAACATAGATTATTTTGTAAAACTACTGTGTTGATGAAGTGTAAAAAATGGCTATGGAATGAGGTCATATCAGATTCCCTAATACTAGTCACAGCTTGACACCCATACATGCAGGTTGTCCCTTCAGAAAAACTGCAAGTTAGTTATGAACAGATTGCCAGAGTGCTGGGAGAAGAATCGCGCGTGATCTCTGATTTGTAAAAGTTTTTTAGTTTGTAAGCAATTTGTAAGCAGCAATTTGTAAGCAAGCGCTGCAAAATGATGCCAAAGAAAGGTGCGATGCAGAAAACTTAAGATTTTGGCACGTCATCCTCCCCCCACTAGACACCTAGTGCATGGATTCGAATTTGAACTATAGCACGCCGATTGCGGCAGAGCGCGGCATTGTCAACTCCAGTTCAACCTCATCCAATATTCTCTGGTGTTTCTTCGTCGTTGCATGGTGATTTTTTGTTTCAATGATGTTTGTAATCAAAATCGACGAAATTGTTGCTGCTTAGCGATGTTTCGTGCTACTATGCTCGCTTCTTCGGTTTTTATTTTAGCTAAATTTGAAATCAGAATTCAAATAACGAGCATAGTAGCAGGAAACATCACTCAAGACTAACAAAGTCTACAATCCAGTCAAGAAGACTGCTAACATTCAAAAAATAGGATGAAACGTCCCGAAAACACAAAAACTTCTGTTTGAGATCAGTGAGGGCTGCAGGTACCGCGCTCTGCCGCAACCGGCGTGCTCTACTTCAAATTCGAATTCGTCCACTACGTGTCTAGTGGGGGGAGGATGACTATAAGCAATTTGTAAGCAGCAATTTGTAAGCAAGCGCTACAAAATGATGCCAAAGAAAGGTGCGAAGCAGAAAACTTAAGGTTTTGGCACGCAGAACGCAATAAAGCTGCCCTCTGATTCAACTGGCTTGGCTGCTTGAAGGCGGGGTTTCGTCCGGCGCACTTCGGCAGGAAAGCATCAGCCTGTCCAAACGATGTCGCAGAGCAGTACTTAATGTCGAATTCGTAAGCGAGAGCCATAGAGTCATCGACCATCGTTGTAGACGATTAGCAGTGTGAACTGGTACTCTTTCTTATCCCGAAGATAGTGAGTGGAGGGCGGTGGTTCGTCAGCAGAGTGATTCTTCGTCCTTAGATGTAACGGTGCAACTTCTTTACGGCAAAAAACTAGGGCCAATCCCTTCTTTTCGTCTCTGGGTAGTTCTTCTCTGTGATAGTCACGGCACGGTGCGTAGCATATGAGCGATAGCAGCAATCCTCTCAGGATCAGGGCGTCTTCCTTTTGCATCGACGATGAATCAAAGAAATATATTGCCGGGCTTGGCAAAGTGGCACTCCTCCACGGCAAACACGCATTCCGTAGTTTTAAAGGCGTTGAAATAGCCTAAACACGCATGTGCTCCTCGCGAGTCCACAACATCGTCCAGATAGGCACCAACTGCATTGATGTCAGCAGTGACGTTGCTCATCAGCGACTGGAAAATTCCTAATTCCTAAAATTCCTTTACTCCAAACAGAGGCGGTTGTAGCAAAAGAGTTCCTGTGACAGTTCCCGTGACGTGTTGATGATCAACAGTTCCTTGGTCTTGTCATCCATTTCCACTTGAAGGTAGGCTTAAGATCAAAGTTGGTGAAGAGGGTTTTTTCACTCCAGCTTGGTGGACTTCCTCAGCAGTGGCCAGGAGGTATCTTTTCAGCTCCGACGCGACCTTCAGGCCAGTAGAACGGTCGACACAGATGCGAACTGCTCTCTTGCTCTTCTTGACTGGAGCGATGGGAACGGCTCATCATGAGTAGCTAACTAGTGAAAGTCTCCATTAGTAACGAGGCGGTCTAACTCTGCGTTTACGAGAGGCTCATTTCGGCAAGTAGAGGGCGCATCATTCTTCTTCAGCACAAGGTGAGCTTTGAATTTGTTGACATGTCCCAGCTCATCCTTGAAGACCTCTAGGAACCCAGCTGCGAGGAGTTCGTCCAGAGAGTCGAAGAGGCATCCACGACACAGCAAACGGCAGAGGAAGCATTCTAGAAGAGCGGCAGCTGTTAAAGCACATCCCCTCCCAGCAAACACAAATTCTTTATCTTATATATAAAACTGGATGTCTGTCTGTATGTCTGTCTGTATGTCTGTGTGCACGTATGTTCCAAATAGAAAATTCCATTTCTAAACTGATCCGAACCAAACTTGGCACACATACACTTCGGGCCCCGGCGGGTGTCGTAGGCTACTTTTCGTCATAATTCAATATCGATTTTATATCGATTCTTTTGCAGAGTTCACCTACGGGGCTGGAAGTTTGCACAGGGGGATAATCGAGCATGTTGATTACGAATACAGTATTAGTTTTCAGAATTATTGATTACTTTTATCGATTTTGTCGATTTTTTTGTAGTTTGTTCTGCGGGGCTGGGAGTTTGCACAGGGGGGGAAACCGAGCATTCTGATTACGAATATTAGTTTCTAAAATCGTCCATTACTTTTGCTGTGTCCTCGACTTGGGACACCTGGAGTCTTCGCTCGGTAGGAGCACAGAAGGACGCAAATCTATTTATCAGAGAAGTAATAGAGAAACAATAGAATATATGAGAGGCGTTTGAGTGAACAGTAGAACTGACAATGGCTAGCAGCGAGCTCCTTTTATAGCGCTCATTTCCCGCGCAATAAGGTTGCAGGCGCCTCAACGAGGGCAGATCATACAACTGATCAGACACTAACACAACAAATTTTATCGATTTTATCGTTTTTTTTTGCAAAGTTTGAGCTACGGGGCTGGAAGATTTTCAGAATTACTGATTACTTTTATCGAGTTTATCGATTTTTCTGTAAAGTTTGAGATAGCTGGGATTTGGCACAGGGGGGTAAACGAGCATGCTGATTACAAATTATATTAGTTTTTGAAACTATCCATTAGTTTTATCGATTTTATCGATTTTTTTTGCAAAGTTTGGGCTACAGGGCTGGGAGGTGGCAAAGGGGGTAATCGGCTTGCTGATTACGAGTAAAATATTAGTTTGGCACTATTCGGCTATCCTGGCCCCAAAACTTTTTTGTCGTAGAACTTGCTCAAACTTCGTTTATAAGGATTACCTTACATGCTGATAACATATACTACACTTTCTCCACAGAACGTCTCTCCGTGTGGTTACGATAGGGGTACGGTAGGAAGTCAAAATCATATTTGGCTGGAGTTCGGTCAAGAGGGCTTATTCGACATGCTGATTACGAATTTCTACTCTCTCTGCATATTGAGACCTTTTCATAGAATTATGGTGGTTATACGGTATGAGATCGAAGACATAGACTTGCTGTAAGCTTCGTCTAGGGTGGCCATTTGGCGCGCTGAACATGAATATTATACTGATTGTGCAGGATAGTGCATTTTCTTGGGTTATGGTGGGTGTAAATGGGTCGAAGTTCCAGATTTGCTCAAAAACTTACCTGTAACGATCCACAAGTACACTGCTTATGAATATGATGCTTGCTCGCTGTCATAACGCATTAGTGAAGTTATGGTGAGTTACAGGGTTTGAATGGACATTTTTTCGCTTTTGGGCCAATTTGGATCCCAGATATTCACGAAATGGGAAAAGATCGTTTTGCATGGCGGTCTCCAGCGCCATCCTGATAAAATGTCCCAAGATGTAACGCACGCGGCAAATCTCCCTCCCCCTGTTTTTGCTTAGGCAAAAGCCGCCGAAGGGTGTATCGCGCGCGGTAGTGGTCCTATGAAAGCATTACGGTCGTGGGAAACTTTTATACCACATGAGTATATTCTTGAAACAGCACTTTAGGTAATTCCCTGCCAAGGTCTCAGGCAGGTTCATAATATTTACCCGCTACCACGCGAAATGACTACGATATTCGTTATCAGCGGCTCGAATAGTCCCCATATACCGAGTGTTTGAGCAAGACCCACTACAAAAACATTTTAGGACCCGGATGGCCAAATAACGCCATCACTAGAATTATCTTTACTCTTATCGATTTTATTGTTGCTGTTTTTTTGCAAACTTTGAGCTACGAGGATGGAGGTTAGTGTGGAAGGTAGGTCAGCATACTGATTACTAACACAGCGGGAATACGGAGATGCATGTAGAAGTGTGCATAGGTAAAGGTGTACAGGGATAGAAGTGGAACCTTTATCGTTTTTTGACAGGGCCGGGCGGAGCCGGGTATGCCAGCTACACAGTATAATCCATTGCCATCAAATCCATTGCAAGTGAATGGCATCTCGTGAAATTTAAGCACTTCGATCAGAGATCCATTTGCAGCTCTTAATTCCGCAGGCGGGGCCTTCAGGGTTGGCGATCCTAGTTCCATTTACGTCCTGCGGGTGATTGTCGATACGTCGGCACCGGTGTCAAGTTGCATTCTCACGTCCAAGTCCTTCATGACATCAACATAGCAACGGTGGGAGTTGCACGTTCGGCTTCACACTTTCTTCAGGGAACGGCGCTGTTCAGTTCCTTAAAGGGTAGTTATTAGCCCATGTCCTTTATTTCACAAGTGAAGCATACGTCACCACGGCGAGAACGTCCAGGTGTGTCCTCGCCATCGGATGGGCGTCCGGCACGTTGCGGCTGTGGTCGGCGTTCCTTCTTCTTCCAGACAAGAGCGACGACTCGGCTTGGACGGGAGCAGGCGATACGGATCCAATGAGAGAAGCATCTTTCTACAGGGTCTGACGTGCATTGTAGTCGGCAATCAAGTCTTGCAGCTTTTGGTTATTGCCTCAGAGTCCAGCTTAGTAGTCGAGCACTGTTGGCGAATCGCACGGCGATTGCAATCCTATGACGAAAAGTAGAATTTCAGTGGATCCCCTTTCATTTCGGCTTTGGCGTTTACCAACATCATCGAGAAGGGTACGACTCGAGGTCCTCTACGGGGTCCTTCATGACGTGCAAGCAGTGCTATCGACGTTGGAACAATGTCTTCTTTTCATCGAATAATGATGTCAGCACTTTCCTGAGTTCATGAAATAACAACTCTAGCGATAATTTCGGCTAGGTGTCCCCGTAGCTTCGCGTGAGCTGCGTTGTCCAGCTTCGCAGACAGAAGAGCATAGCTTTTTCTGGCACTGACGCTGGAACAACCTCTTCTAATTTAGAGAGCCAGTTTCAAAGGTGCGACCGCTTTCTGGGTCGTAATTGAAACACGGCAGTCGCGATGATAGTGCTGCGAAGTCGGCCTGCATCGCAGGAGCTGCAAAATGTTCCACTCGTTGTAAAAGCTCCTGGTTGGCTTTCATGAGCGCGTATTCTGCTGCATTAGCTGGTCGAACATGTGCAAGTGATGTGTTCGAGTGGTCTCCGTTTTTCCAGGAAGAATTCCTTATCCGATTTATTCGATTCAACAAGTCTTCGTCCTATCCACGCAAGTCCTATCACCTGTTCGCCAATTGTTGTAATCCTTGACTCTTCTTTGCGTGGAACCAAATACAGTGAAATACCTAGTAGTTTATTAGTTGATTGAAATAATGAGTGAATCATCAGACGATTACAGTAACTGAATATACTCTCGACTGTGAAAACGTACCACTCGGTACCAGGTACCTAGGGAAGCCTTACGAGGCGGAAAACTCATGGGAACGGAAATTAGAACAACAACAGAGGATCTTTACAATACAAAGACACGAGTAAAACGATACAAATATAGTACATCAAAGCAAGTACAGTACATAAACACATCGCTACCCAGCAACAATCATAGCTTAACCATTGCTGTTCTTCATCTTCCCCGAAAACTTATATCGGAACATCTTTTGTGTCCCGTTATGCGTGTTCATAGACTGTCCCTCAAAATTTCAATTTTTACCGCAATGCAGTAATAGAACGACAGAGGTTCGGCGCATGCTTTCGCGCGCGCGATGAGCTCTTCTACCTGTTTTAACCTGCGAGGTCACGCTGAGGCTGGCGTTTTTTTTTTGCGATGGTGTGCCATGAGGGTTTATGATGCCATCATAAGAAGTAGATTACTGTGGCTCAAGATAAAACAAAATCCAGAACAGAATTAGCAGCATTGCAGGGCTGCCGCATCAGGAAGCAACCCTACCCTTGCTGGTTCATGGTCGAAAAAAGCTGCAATTTCATTTACGGGATCTGCGTAGAAGACATCAGAGCTTGGAGGCAAGGCATACGCTGCCGCCAAATCATGTCTTTTAAGAGGATTTGTACAAGTTACAGGATTTACAAAATATCCTTGAGATGTTAGGCCATCCGGAGTTTTTTCGTTTTCGTACCATCAAATTCAAACAAGTACATCCTTCTCCAAATCCAAATTCTTCCAATAAACTTCAATCTGTTTAGCACATTTCTGGTTACACTCTTACAGTGCTCTTATGCTTTTACCTTGCGATATTCTCAGTAGAGCCATTGAAGCCTAAAAAGGCGTTTTGATTGGCTAATTTTCACCGAGGGCTATTATTTTTGATTAAGCACTGCGGAACTAAAAGAATTGGTGATTGGTGAAGAAAGGCCTGAGGTTTTCGAAAATCGAACAGGAACCTCGGTGCGCTGTCAAACCCTTTTGTGAAAGCCATCTTTCTTACAAATGGTTTAGCGTCTCATGTGCGAAGATGGCACATAGCATAGTTGTATGTGCATGTCTGTTCAGTTTTGAAAATTTTGACAGACGGTCTTTAGACCAATACCATGCTACTCTGCTCTGAGTGTACAACCAGATCTTAGCAAGTTCATAGTGTACAAGACCAGCAGGACCACGGGGATTTGTGTTCATCACCCTTATGAGTGAGTGATAATTCATGGCCATGCTTCAATGCTTGTTCCACATTATATTTTATTACAGTGTCGCTTCTTGTTAGCGTACGTGACCCATTTTTTTACTATAAATGTCCGTTCAACCCAAAAAGCGATTGCACTGTCAAATTATAATTAAGGAAGCAGAGTCAACGCTCCCTCAGTCTGCGAGTGCGAATGAAGTTTTCGGTTTTTGCAGCTTTTGCGAAGGTGGCTTTCAATGGAATTATGTGACACTTCAAGGCCTGCTAATAATTTTTGCAAATATATTTGCAATTTGCTCTATTTGCAATTTGCTCTTTGAGATGCTCGCCTATATGGCGACATCACCTTCCAGAACATTAAAAAATCTTACGACCTTGAGAAAGACGTAGCCTTGGCAACTACACTGCGCATAAATGATGGCTTCTTGAACTATCTTACGTACAGGTTTGAGCTCTAAGAACGCAATCTTTCAAAAATCGCGTATCCTCTTGTCGATTTTATAGCCGCATAAGCTTCTACAAAATTTTGCAAGCTTGGTAGGATCCTCAGAATCTAGAGAGCTTTTTCTACAGATCCATCTATAACACATCCTATCAGCCTTTTGCCACTCTTTCAAAATATGGCATCAAGGCATTACTGGCGAAAAAAGCGAAAAAACGTTTTGGAAGACCTAATACATGTGTAATTTCGAAACCAATCCTATGGATTTCTCTGATTTCAAGATTGTTAAGCATTACCTTACTCTTTGGATTCTTCAAATCAAAATGAGGCAGTCAATTAAGACTTTGGTTGCTGAGCTTACATCAAGGGAGGCCGGAGGTATCTCCACGTTATCTCGCACTTCTTTTTTTGTATCAAGAGATGGAGTTCCAGCAGCGTCACCACCACCACCACCCTTCGCTTTGCCTGCTCGGCAACCATTTTCGTTGACCTAAATCGGCGTCATTCTTGATAGAGTGCGCATTGGTCAAATGCATACCAATAGTATGGTAAACAAAAGTATCTTCCAATGCATATTGTAGTAGATAGCTAAAGCACGCGATGCAAAATGACTTCCCACTTTCATTCTGCCCCTTATATACTTTATGATAAGTGTATGTTAAGTTTATGTCATAAGTGCATGTAATTTCAATCAGTTCTAAGAGCGGTTGTTGCTGAAAAAAGAAAAGCATAAAAATGTTACTTTTTTTCGTCCCACTCATATATCAACAACCAGGTGTAGGGTGAGGGTGGCCTTGCAGGCATATGACGATATGAAAGGTGAAAAAGTGAAAAACGGGATTGGAGGTGAATCTTGGAAGTTGTTCCACAAGGCTGGAGTCATACTAATCCAGCTAAAGAAAGGCAGAAACCTCGTTCTCGAATCTTGTGTATTCGTCGTCCGAAAGAACTTGCAGCGATGTTATGTTTGCCTGTCCAAATGGTTGTTGCTTTTTGCCTTACGACAACTGTCGGTCCTCGTCCATTTAATGTTCTTTTATTATTAATTGTACCTTGATTCCATGTAACTCAAAATTTCTCTGATCTCGTGCTGTCTGCACTTCAGCTTTCATGGTCTTTTTAGCTGTCGATCATTCATTAGACAGAGATGCCGCATTGTGCACCATCGAATGGTAATGGTTTTGCGGCGTCTACGCAAAATTTCGCTTGTACTCTAGGATGTATTAAGTGCATGTCTCATTTCTTCACCAAGATTGTAGGTTTTAACTTTCTACAAATTCAAGCTTACTGCCCGATTGATTACAGTGCCGTCGTTGTTCAATGAACTAAGCTGCTGTCCTTCGCGACTTTTTCTGTTGATTCCTGATTGGTAAACAGCTGGGCTTTTGTGTTGTTCATTTCTTTCCGAAAAATTGCATTTCATTTCAGTTGCGAAACCTTTTAGTTTCATTAAGAGAGTTGCTGAGCCGTGGAAATCCCTTGACTGAGCTTAAAAGCAGTAGATCAGCAGATTGGGCCGTTCTGGAATTTTGTTGGATCTAGGTAAAAGACCTCCCAAGTACACTGTAGCCCAAACCCCACCTGCCAATTTATGCGCTAAGTGCTGAAAACTTACTTACTTAGATACTTAGATGGCCCGTCTTCACGTTTCGTGCGGGCCCCAGCAAAAAAGTTTCCATTTGTCCCTGTCCCTCGCTTCAGACATCCACGATCTTCTTGGTTGTCGTCGGTGGCTGCATCCACTAGTTCCATGTGCGATACTCGTATCCAGCTGATTTCTCAGCTGGTCAATCCGTTCCACGAACATGTCTGTCCACCTCGTTGGTGGTCTTCCTCGGCTTCGCGAGGAATCCACTCAGATGTTTTTAGTGTTTATCTGTCTGTTCTTCTTAGGATGTGACCGGCCCATCCATGCTTCGCTTTCTCAACGTAATCCACTGGGTTACAAAGACGTGACATTTTTCTCAAATCCGTACTATGACACTTGATGTTGCTCGTGTCGGGTCATCTTCAGAAGACAAGACTGCACTCTAGCGCCCTGTGGATGGTCCTTAGAGTTTCGACGTGGCTACGGTGTCAGCCCAACTCAGCTGTATAACTAGCGCCGAGAGAACAGTTGAGTTGAACAAGTGGGCACGAAGCACCGGGTCCGTCACTTTGTTGGTGGTTTTTTTGAGAGGCCCGAAAGCGACAAAGGCCGCTCTTCTTCTCCTTTTAAGTTTTTCCCTCACGTCGTTTGCCATGTTCATCGATAAGAAGACGCAATGAAGCGCCTTTCATTTCTACTTTTTTTACTTCCGCATCTCAGCAAAAAACGTTCTTCAAGAGTTGAGTCTTTGTCCAATTTATTCGCAGTCGGATTTTCTTCTCCTTCAGCATCGTCTCTGCTTCAATGATATTGCTCGAGAAGAGAACGAGTTGAATGTAGTCTGCAAAACGAAAATTCGACAGAAATGTCCCATCAACTAGTATCTCTCGTCCCATATCAGTGACTTTATCACCCACTGCAAGACCGCGGTGAACAGCTTTGGCGACATTGTGTCGTGTCGGACTCCCTTTCCGATTGGGATGGCCAGGGGGCGATGGAACAGCTGCATCGTCGTTGTACAGTCCTTCTAGCAGTCGGCTAATGTTCTCACTTAAGCTGGGTCCATTCCTTGATTGATTAGTGCTGATACAGTGAGGTTGGTTTCGACGTTGTCAGTGGCTTTCAGTTTCGACGTTGTCAGAGGCTCTCTCGTAATCAACAGAAGTTAGGACGAGAGGCAATCGGTATTCCCAACAGAATTCTATCACCCTCGAAACCGTCCGGGTGTGGTCAGTTAGCCAAATCTATTGCAAAACCCAAAACTCGTTCTTAGGTTGGGTTTCATTCAGCGCCTTGGATATGCGAGCAAAGATAATTCGAAGCTTGTACAGCACACCCAGCAGACATATTGGGTGGTAGTTCCAAAAAAGTTCCTCTTGTTCGCCCTTCTTGAAGAGAAAGACGGTTCTTGTATTTGTCCACTGATCAGACATCTTTCTCTTCTGAAGGTAAGATGCTAGATGTTACGCGAGAATTTCGTGGATTTTCTGCGGTCTGGAGAAGTTCGGTGGAAGGATGATCTGGTCCTGGAGCCGTGGATGTCTTCATGGTCTGCATCGCGACACGCATTCAGCAGGTAGAATTCGTGATGGTACTTCTCTAGTGGGAACAACGGGCATCGGCACGGATGTTGATGAGCGGAAGAGGTTGATGTAGAAGTTCTTCGCGACAGATTCCATCTTGTATCAGGAAGAAGTCGAGGTTCCGTCTTTGTTTAAGAATGTAGCCAGCGGCAGATGTTCACAGAGGTCCCTTCAGCACTTCTTGAGACTTCGTCTTCCTTCGGCTGCTTCCAGTATCTTGGCTTTTCTGTACTTCCTGAGCTCCTGCTGCAAAACTGTTCTGCAACTGGCGTTGGCTATCAGTCGCTCGGGATGTGTTGCTTTTGAATCCTGCCTCAGAAATCATTTCTTTCGAGTGATTCCTTGGTGGCAGGAGGATGGAACTGAAACATCGAGCAAGCTCCACTTTCGATTGGTGAGAATGTGGTCGATCTTTGCGTGAGTCGTTCCGTTGGGGGATTCCATGTCCACCGACGATGTTCTTTCTTTATGAAGATGGGATTTCCATGGAAAAGTCGTGCGGCGGAGACAAGCCCAACGAGACGGTTGCCGTTTTCGTTCCAAATCCCATATTTTAACTTCCCGATCCTAATTCCTCTAATGGCATCCCGATCTCCGCGTTGAAGTTGCCCACAACAAACTTGTAGAAGAAATCCTCGTTGCGGACGACCTGCTCCACGTCTTCGTAGAAAGCATCTAGTTCTGAATTGTCAGCTGCTGATGTTGGGGAGTAACAGTTGATGATGGTGATGGTCTTTTGACGTGGACGGTGCGGTCGTGGGATGGCTAGTCGCAGTGATAGAATCTTACGCGAATCGACAAGATGGACGATAGATGGGTGGACGACAAAGCCGACGCCTCCCACGTTTCGTGATGGAACCTTTTCACCACGAATGATGAGGGTCCCATCACTCATCTGTCGCACGTCCTTCTTCCTGGACTTCGTTTCCTGCAGAACGATGATGTGGTACTTGATGTGCTCTGCAGCGTCGAAAAGAGCGTGGAGGTCGGCGTTTGTGGAGACTGTCCTGGCGTTCTAGGTGCAGAGCATGAGGCAGCCTCCATGGCGTGTCGTCCGGGCAGACGTGTCGTTTTTGTTCGATCCAAAAGGCGCCCTAAGGACCCTGACATCATTCTTGCTACCACCCGGCGACGTAGGCCTGATCCGATGTACAGGGTTTATTTCCCTTCTTTTGCTGATTGAGTAATAAAAATGTTTCCCCTACAAGAGCAGAATTACTAGGCCAACTCTTGATTTCCACGAGGCGATCGCTGCCCACGGATGTGTAGCGGGGAGGGACCGCCTAGTGACCAGAAGAAACCAGACGACGGGGGATCTGGCATGGCCGGTTCTTAGCTAGGCATCCGGCCAAAACCGGAAACGTCGAACTCCTTCACAGCTTGGGAGTCCCTACCAGAGTGTACACTCGGCTGTGCATCGCAGTTCGACACCAGTGTCACCCCCACGCCACCATGAGGCGACCGACCATTGTGGGGGGAGCGCTGAAAAATGCGCTTCAAAACTCCATTAGCCCCGCCCATTTTCATTGAGGGGGCGTCATTGGTGGAAGTTTGAAGCGCGTTTTCAGGATTGAGCGCATGAATTGGAAGTTGGGGTTTGGGCTACGGTATATTTGGTAGGTCTACTACCTAAATCCACCAAAATTCGATAAGGGTCCATTCTGCTGATCCACTGCCCTTTAACAAGAGTAAATCAAGCTGTTTATTCTTTAAAGTCCATTCCAGACTTTGTATTCTAACTTTAGTCTTTTCTTCGCAAGGCCATTGATCTCATGTGATAAAGTGAACTCTGCCGTTCTGATTTGATGAAAATCATTTTTGAGGCTCCTAGTTCTTTGATCTTAATCCGTTTTCAAGACAGCTTCATGCAAATTAAACAGGTAATCTTTTTATTTTCATTTTTTTGAGGTTTTTAGCGTGCGTAAGTGCAGCTCTCTTATGTTTCTCCTTTGCAGCTGAAGTGAGAAGTGCACTTACTGTTACTCGAAACAAAAATATGATTGTTTTGATAATGAGGAAACAACATTCTGGTAACAAACATATTACAACAGCCGTAACGAAAGCTTCACAGGAAAAGATGCGCCAAGTTCAAGGGAGACGGTAAAAAGATGAAATGAAAGCAACTTCGAGTTCACTACTGCTTGAGTCAGCTGATCAGTGGATGAAAGGAGTCTCCCGAAGAATTATTGGCGAGGAATGTTATGATCATCGACGAGATGGAAGAAGAGCAAGATGTTTGTTCAACTAGTAGCAGGCAATCCTGAAAGAGCTAAACAAAAAGGAGAAGCCAACCAGGAACAGATTAGCTGAAGGCTACTATAATTTGGCATGTACTAGAAAAGAGGAAAGACAAATTCTCGACGAATAGAGTACATTATACTGTACGATACATTATACGCGATATTTCACGAGAACTAAAACATG